CGCGGCCGCGCTGGCCCCGGCCCGGCGCTGGCGGAGCCGCCCCGGGAGGCAGCGGGCTGGGGGGCCCCGGGAAGCGGCTGCGGGAGCAGCCTGGGCCGCGGGCGGTCCTAGCGCCCTCGGCCAGACTTCCCACTTCTGCGGCCCCGCAGGAGGACCCAGCATGGTGGGAGGCGGAGGGCCACGACCCCGCAGCGCTCCGGGTTCGGACACCTGGCCTCGGTCGTGCTCGCGGCCACTCGGGATTCCTCGGGTCGCAGCTGAGTCGCGGCCTGGCGGCAGCCTCCCCCCCCACAACGGATCCCCGCTACCTGGCGCGGCTCCTGCGCTGAGTCCCCGCATCCAGCACTGGCCGCAGGGACAGCGGCCCCTCCTCTCCCGGCCGGTGTCAAGTGCCTCCCCCCCCGCCCCCCCCCCCCCACCCCCGCAGCCTGCGGAGCCCCCGGCGGCCTTCGCCCTGCAGTTCTTCCGACCTCCACCAGAGCCCACTGCACTCTGCCTGCCTCAGCACCCGGGCTGGGGACAGCAGCGCCTGCCCAGACGCGCCGCCATCCCCAGCCAGGTGTCGCGGTGGAGTGGCGGCCAACCGGCTCCACAGGGCCAAGGTCAACGAGCGTTAGAGGCCACCCTAGGGACCCGAACACCTCCGTGAGGTGGACCGCCTAAAAGGGATTGAACTCCCAGTACCTTGAGGTGTCCAAGAAGAGTTGGATGCCCTCAGGTGGGCACTGAAAGACACTGACAGATCCGATGGGGTGGGAGGTTGAACTAAATGACATTGGTTTCTTCCGACTGTAAGATTCTCTCTGCATTCACCTCAGCCCCTCTCGGTGGGGGCGTTCTGAGGGCTCCAGGTCTGTTGTGCTTCCGTAGCCAACAACCATCACTGGGGCTTGGCATTGAATCCCCAGCCTCCTTGCTTGGCTCCTCCCTCCTGACACTGGGCACCCCCATCCACCCAGCCCGTCAGCTGGTCTACTTCTCCAACACCCATCATTACACTTGTTTGCAGACCCTTAATGCTGAAGCAGGTCTGCATGCAACACCCCTCACCCTGCCAACTTCACCCTATTGGGGTCACAGGGACCCAGTTATTTAACTCTTTGGGATGCAAAGTTGCCCTTTCATGTAAGAAGTCAGGAAGCCCTTGGATGCTTCCATTCTAAAGTCTTCCCCACCTGTAATCAACTGTCCTGGTCTTTTCCAATGTCACCCTCCTTCTTGTGGCCACCCCAAGACACAAGTAGTTTCTGCTACCAATGGTCTCTAATTGGCTAGTTCTAGAGACTCGCAGTGCTCTGTGAAGACAGAACATAACATTTGTCAACTGTGTAGCTCAGTACCTGTACATAGTAGGTCCTCATAAATGCTGGTTGAATGACTATATGAACTGTAGGCTCTTTGCCACTTTGCTCTTTACATCAAGAGCCAAATCCACAGCCCCTCTAAATGGCACTCTCAACTTGGCTAAGGGGAAGGCTATGTTAGAAAAAGGTCTCACATCACTACCTTCATCAAGGGCTATATGGCACTGTCTCCAAAGAGCAGCCATTGCGTGTCTGCTATGTGCCAACCATCAGACATGACACTTTTCCTTTGTCTTCATCACCCTGTGAGATAATTTGTGCTGTCCCCACCTTCTTGTGAAGAAACCAAGGGCTAAGGATGTAGCTTGGTGACATCTAGTATTCTCCAAATCCTGGGTTTGATCCCTAGTACCACCATCAAAAGCCCACTAGAACATAATCAAACCAAGAAGTAGGGAAGTGGCCAATGGGGATTCAAAACTAAGTTCATCTGGCTCTGAGATCAGCACACCAGATCTTTAAAACATGATAGTTGCTCTTAAGCTGAAACTGGAACAAGAGGGCAAAAGGTTAGTCTGCATTCAGTGGAGCTACTGATGATGTCATCAGAAACTTTAACAGTGTATGACCTTGAATGTCTGTGTTGCTAGACTCCAGAGGCCCAAGGTCACCATGTTAGGGGGGTTGTGACCAGAAAGAAGCAAGCGTGAGGCTCCAGGATTGGTTCTAGATGCCAGTGCTGATGTTTTTGGTTCCAAGAGGTGGCACATCAGTGCTGACTAACCCTCTCCCTCACCCACATTGCACTGGTTCAGCTCAGATTGGTTTAGCCTTTATGTTCTATTAAGATTTCAACATGAGCCAGGCATGGTGGTGCACACCTTTAATCCCAGCACTTGGGAGGCAGAGGTAGGCGGATCTTTGTGAGTTTGAGGCCAGCCTCTTCTACATAGCAAGTTCCAGAACAGCTGGGGCTACAGGGAGACCCTGTCTCAAAAAGACAAAAAAAAAAAAGATTTCAATATGAAGTGCCCACCCAAAGTCTCATATTGAAGGGTCAGTCCTCTGCTGATGGTGCAGTTTTTGAGAGGCTCTGGAAGGTATAGAAGGTGGAACCTAGCTGAAGGAAGTAGGTCACGGGGGCATTTCCATAGAGGCTGTAACTTTGGTCCCTATGTTCCTTGCTCAGCTTCCTGGCTGCTGTGAACAACCTCCTCCACTACCTGCTCCTGCCACCACAGTGTTCTGCATCTCTATGGGCCCAAAAACATTGAACCGTCTGAAACTGTGAGATAGAATAATTTCCTCCTTTGGGTGGTTTCTGTCAGGCATTTTGCCACAGCAGCAAGAAAAGTAACTAATATGAGCTCCTCCATCCCCTCACTTTGGTTGACCCCAAATCCTGGCTGACAGTGACATTCCAGGCTGAAGATGCTGTGTAGTTCCAATAGAAAAGGTTATCATATAGTAGCAAACACTACCAAATCTCAGTGACTTCAAACCATAAAGTTCTCTGGAAAACAGTATGATGACTCCTTGAAAAGTTAAACATCGGATTTCCATGTGAGACAGGGTCTCGCTATGTATCCCCGGCTGGCCTCAAACTCACAGAGATCCACCTGCTTCTGTATCTTCTAGGATTTAAGGCATTCATCACCACACCCAGCTTCAGCTGAACCTTGAAGACTCCAAACTGAGTGAAATAAGCCAATCACAGATGGACATATATTACATGATTCTGTTTATATGAGGTATCTAGAGTAGTTGAAGTTGTGGAGACAAAATAAAATCTTCGTTACCAGGATTGGAAGGAGAGAAAAATGGGGAGTGTTTTAACAGGTGGTGTTTCAGTTTGGGAAGATAAAAACGTAGATACGGATGGTGGTGGGGAACATGCCGATGGCATGCTGATGTCACTGAACTGTACACTTTAAAATGGTAAAATTTGTTTTATGTGTATTTTATTGCAATAAAACAGAGCATAATGCATCTAGAAGTGTCAAGTGTCTTCTGTAGGTCTACAGGGGGGTGGGAGCATGGAATATCCATGGCCCCTGGCTGACAGAAGAGCTGCCATCTAAGGGGGAGCACCAGAGGGTGTCACCCTGTCAATAGGCATGTGACACTCAAGGGGTAGAAACACATACAGCTCTATTCAACCACAAAGATCCAGGAAGCAAATGCTATGGAGGACCTCAAAGACCAGATACTTTAGTCTGGGATTTAGCTCAGTCAGTAGAATGCTTGCCTAGCATGCACAAGGCCCTTGGTGCCATCCCCAGATTGTATAAACGGATGTGGTGGCATACACCTGCCATTCCAATATCACTCATGTCTGCTTCCCACTATTTTGGGATCTTTCCTTCCTACAGGATTGAGGGAGTTTGAAACAGAGTTTCAATGAGCAGCTCAGGCTGACCTTGAATTCTCCTTGTAGTTGAGGCTGATCCTCCTGCCTTTTACCTGCCTGATACTGGGATTAAAGGTGTGCACCATGGTACCTGGCTGTCCTTCCCACTTTAAGCAAACCCCACCCAGAGCTTTGGAAAGCATGACCAGCAAGCTCAGGTTTGAATTCTTCCAGTTCTGTATCCAGTAGAAGTCCATTTTCCTTTCCAAAAGCTCCCACTATCTCCAGGACACAAAGCTCCAGGTCCTTTAACAACTGCCCCCAACCCCAAGCCTTGAGGTATGAAATGCGCAATTTTTCCCTCATTTTCAATGTTGCCCTCAGTCATGAGGCCACTCAGCAAGGGCCCCAAGGCCACCCTGAACTAGGTTCTGTGGCTAGTGAGATAGTTTGAGTCTTATACCCATCTGCCCTAGTGGTGCCAAAAGTGGCACGGGATGGTCAGATCCAGCCAATGCCGAGTGGTGGGGTTGTTCCCCAAACTAAAGACCATTGGACAAGTGAATTATGCCCCACTGATGACCGCCCACCATCCTGATGCCTGTACCCCACAGACACATTTTACAAAATGTTCCTGCTGCTTGACTGACTTAGTGGTTGTATGATGCTGTTAGATTGAATGCCACTAAATTGCTCACTTCAAGAATGGTTAGCACTGTACTGGAGAGGTCTCCATTAGTAGAGTGCTTGTGTAACATGCACAAGTCCCTGGGTTTGGTCTCCAGAACAGAATAAAACTAGTATGATGAAGTATGCTTGTAATCCCAGCCACTGGGAGGCAGAGGCAGGAAAATCAGGAATTCAAGGTCATCCTCAGCTACATAATGAGTTTGAGGCCAGATTAGGCTGCATGAGACCACGAGAAAGGGGCGGGAGAGAATAGATATATGGATAGATGATAATCAAATACACGATGTGTGGAGAGAAAGCAGATGAATTGCAGTGTAAAGCAGCCTGGGAAGAGGAGGATGAGAGGAGCCTGCAGGGCTGCTGGCCTTGGGGCTACCCAGGGCTCTTGGCGGCAGAGCCAGGTCCTGTGCTGACTCCCTGGGACAATCTCCCTCATTCAGTGATACAGGTTCATGATGATTCAGAGGCTGACTAGCCACTGAGGCTGGAGATTATATGTCACTTCTCTTGAAGCCCCAGTCAAAGCAGTCAGTTCTGGACCTGGGTCTCAGTGGACTAATGACAAGGCCCCAAACCCCAAAGCTGCAAAGCTGATCGAAGTGCATGCGCAGCACAAGCACTGGGGGTGGGAAGACTAAGGGTGGGTGTGGAAGTGCATTGTCACCCATAAAATGCTGTTTCTGCCATTCACAAAGAAAATCCAAAACACAAACTCAATCAGCATAGCTTCCTGTGTGACTGTGTGAAGTCTTTTTGTTCAATTACTTTCACCTTCTTACTGGATTTCCCATGGCAACTTCCATAAAGCACCCCTCACTTCTTGCTGCTGGTGGCCACAGACATCTCCAACCCTGCCTCTCTCCAGCAGGAGCCTCCTCAGACCCAGACAATAATTGCAAAGAGTAATTCTATTGTGGAAAAGCCTATAGATTGCTTTAATCAACCGGCCAAAGTTAGTTAGTGTTCTGTTGTTAGTAATGGGTCAAATGTGAATGTTCTACACCCACCAAGCTGAAATGATATGGACATAGCATCCTCTCCTGTTGCCCAGGCTGTTCCCAAAC